CTAAGAATCTATAAATAAACCCCTCATCCCTCTTGAAAGAGGAGCTCCAAGCAAGAGAGCAAGAGAGAGATTGGAGATTGCTCTTGCCTCCTCGATCCTCCTCGACCACCACTTGAATTTCACTGGGCCACCACTAGAGGCCCTAACTTTTGTCGGACCACCACATGAGGCCCAAGCTTTTGCTGGAGCACCACCTGAGGCCCGGACTTCTTCTGGACCACCACCTGAGGTCCGGACTTCTGTCGGAACACCACCTGAGGCCTGAACTTATGTCGGACAACCACCTGACGGTTGGACTTCTGCCAGACCACCACTTGAGGCCCGGACTTCTGCCGGACCACCACTTGAGGCATGGACCTCTACCGGACAACCACATGAGGCATTCGCTGGACCACTACCTGAGGCTCGGACTTCTACCGGACCACCACTTGAGGCCCACACTGCTGTCAGACCACCGCATGATGCTCTGAGCTCTGCCGGACCACCACCTAAGGGTCGACCTTCTGTTGGACTACCACCTGAGGCCTGAACTTTTTCCATACCACCACTGAGGCCCGAACTTTTGCCGGACCACCACCTGAGGCCCCGACTTCTGTCAGACAACCACTTGATGCCCTGAGCTCCGCCGGACGACCACATGAGGACCGAACTTCCGTCGGACCATCACTTGAGGCCCGGACATCTGCCGGACTACCACCTGAGGCTCAGACTTCTGTCGGGCTACCACCTGGTGCCCAGAGTTCTACCAAAGTACTGCCCTACTTCAACGATCTTTCTATCCCCGATCTTCGGCTAACTATGGTCTTTTGGACCCCTGTCTCCTATCGACTATGGTCCTTACGACCTCCGTCGCCTACTACAGTCCTTCCGACCTACATCACCAGACAATGGTCTTTCTAACATCGGTATGCTGCATACTACGGTCCTTCCGACCTACATCACCGGACAGTGGTCTTTCTGACCCCGATCTCCTGCCTACTATGGTCTTTCCGACCTCTATCCTATCAACTATGGTTCTGCTAATCAAACAAACATGTCTATATTGATTATTGTAACTCCCACCATGTAATACGCTCTATGTGATGTACATTTGTAACATTAAGCCAAGGCCTTCTCCCTAAGAAGGGCCTCATTTGTAATCGACTGCAAATACTAGTGGATTCATTCAAACTAGGCTAGACCCCTTGGTTTTCCCCTTTTCAGGGGTTTCCACGTAAAAACTTTGGTGTCGCTTATGAACGCTACACCCTTTATATTATCTGCTTGTGTGTTGGATCTTCGTACAATGTTAAGAAGTTAAACTATATATTTCTCTACTGCCCGAATACTTTAGAACGCAATAGTTTAGTATACTATTACATAATTTAATTAATTAAATTAATTAAAAAAAAAAAAAACTAAAACAAGGAAATTTCTAATAATTGAGGCGTTACTGTAGCCATATATCCTCCTAACAATTTATAGTATACATATTGATTAACTATAAATATATAGCAGATTCGTTTTTAATAAATTAATAAGTATTAATTAATTATATATTGATTTATTTTGAAAGGTCCAATTTGAACATTTTTACAATCCTCGGAACTATTTTTCGATGTTCCGAAATCGATTTTGACACTTTTGAAGCTCAAAAGAGCCTCTATGATATGTTTTGAACTATTTAAAAAAAAAAATTGGAGTAAAATTTTTTGACATTTTTTTGCTCCCATTAATGCTCGAACTTCGCAGAATGTTAAAATCACGTATATATTTTTTGACTATACCATATTCGACATTCAAAAGCACTTAAATAGATATTTTCTATATTTATAGGAACACTCCGAAACCGCCCCGGGTCTTCTCTATATTTACGGGATGTGACACTCATGAAAATCTATAAATAGATTTCCATTGTTTAGATGAAGGGGACCTTGGGCAAAAGATTGGAGAGAGCTCTAAGGCTTCAAGAGTTCCTACACAATCGCTGGCGAACCCACATTGACTACCGTCGGACCATCGCCGGACTTCCACCATGCCACCAACTGTCGCAGGACTTCAGCCTGACCTTCGTCGGACCACCACCTGGCTACCGATCACTACCGGACTTCCACTCAGTCGCCGACCACCACCTAAGGCCCATACTTCTGTCAGACCACCACCTAATTCCCTGAGCTCCGCCGAACCACCACCTAAGGTCTGAACTTCCACTGGACCACCACCTTAGGCCCGGACTTCTGCCGAACCACCACCTGAGGCACGAACTTCTGTCAGACCACCCTGATGCCCTGAGTTTCGCCCGACCACTACCTGAGGCTCGAACTTTCGCCGGACCATCACCTGAGGCCCGAACTTCTGCTAGACCACCACATGAGGCCCAAATTTCTGTCAGGCCACCACCTAATGCCCAGAGTTCTACCAGAGTAGCACCCTACTACAACGGTCTTTCTGACCCTGATCTCCGGCCAACTATGATCTTTTAGACCCCTATCTTCTGTCGACTATGGTCCTTCCGACCTCCGTCGCCTACTATGGTCCTTCCGACCTACATCACCAGATAACGATCTTTTTGACCTCGGTCTCCTGCAAACTATAGTCCTTTTGACCATCATCACCTGAGGCCCGGACTTATGCTAGACCACCACATGAGGCCCGAATTTCTGTCAAGCCACCACCTAACGCCAATAGTTCTACCAGAGTAGCGCCCTACTACAACGGTCTTTCTGACCCCGATCTCCGTCCAACTATGGTCTTTTAGACTCCTATCTCCTATCGACTATGGTCCTTCCGACCTCCATCTTCAACTACGGTCTTTCCGACCTACATCACCAGACAACGATCTTTCTGACCTTGTTCTCCTGCATACTATGGTCCTTCCGACCTACATCGCCAGACAATGGTCTTTCTGATCCCGGTCTCTTGCATACTACGGTCTTTCCGACCTCTATCCTATCAACTATGGTCCTGCCGACTAAACAAACATGTTTATGTTGATTGTTGTAACTCCCACCATGTAATATGCTCTATATGATGTACATTTATGACATTAAGCCAAGACCTTCTTCCTAAGAAAAGCCTCATTTGTAATAGACTTCAAATACTAGTGGATTCATTCAAACTGGGCTAAGCCCCGTGGTTTTTCCCCTTCTGGTGTCTCTTATGAACGCTACACCCTCTATCTTATCTGCTTGTGTGTTGGATCTTTATACAATGCTAGACGTTAAACTATATATTTCTCTACTGTCACGGCTACTCCAGGACACAACAAGAATAAAGGTGTTGCGCAAGATTGTGCGAATTATAGATGAATTAAGTTGATGTGTCATACTTTAAAACTATAGGAGAGAGTTATCGAGCATAGGTTACGACATGACACTAATGTTCTCAATATCAAATTGAATTCATGCCGGGTAGGTTTACTATGGAAGCCATACATTTATTGAGATGTTTGATGGAGAAGTATATAGAGGAGGATTTTCATATGATATTTATTTATTTAGAGAAAGTATATGATAAAGTTCCAAGGGAAGTGTTAATATTCCACGGGAAGTGCTATGGAGATATCTCAAAATGAAAGGGGTTAATAATGCTTACATTCAAGTCATTAGGGATATGTATGATGGAGCTATTACTTGTGTTTAAACACAAGGTGGTTTGATCAAGTATTTTCTAATTACACTTGGATTACATCAAGGATTATCCTTAAGCCAATATCTTTTTTGTTTTAGTCATGGATGTTCTTACTAGAGATTTGCAAGAGGAAGTTCCTTGGTGTATGCTATTTGCTGACGATATTCTTCTTGTTGATAAGAATAAGAGGGAGTTGAAGGTAAACTTGCATTATGGGGGTTAGCCTTAGAGTCTAAAGGTTTTCGTTGAATAGATCTAAAACCGAATACATGGAGTGTAATTTCAGTAATAATATATCTAGTGGGGGATTTGTGACTTTGAGCGATCAATTCATTAATAATAGTACACATTTTAGATATCTTGAATTTATTGTTCAGTGTGATGGTGAAATAGATAGGGATATTATTAGTAGAATTCATGTTGGATGGTTGAAGTGGAGGAACACATCGGGCTTGTTGTTTGATAGAAAAGTACCACTCAAACTTAAGGGAAAATTCTATAAGATGGTGGCTAGACCTGCAATGCTTTATGGTGCAGAATGTTGGCCATTAAAAGAGAAGCATAATATTAAGTTAAGTATTGTAGAGATGAGGATGCTCAGGTGGATGAGTGGTTTTTCTCTTAGATACAGGATATGAAACGAGCATATATGTGAAAAGATTGGAGTAGCTCTAGTGACATATAAGATTAGAGAAAGCCGTCTTAGATGGTTTGGTCACATGAAACGATGGCCTTCCGATGACTGGTTAGGATAGTAGATGTATTAGATTCGACCTATATTAAGAAAGACAGAGGTTGACCTAAAAAGACTTGGTTATAAATTATTAAAAATGACATTTATTTATTAGATCTAAATGAGAATTTGACTCTTAACAAGACACGATGGAGAAAAAAGATTCATGTATCAAACTCCACGTGGTGGGATAAAAATTTGATGTTGTTGTTATTGTACTATTTTATTATCTATATATATAAGCACCATTATATCAATACATTATACAATTCAATAATAAATATTTCAATTTTAACCCTTTAACATATATATTTGATTTTTTGAGGAATTTACATACATACCACATAATTTTTATATATTTAAATATTTAACACTTTCATTAATATTTATTTATATAATACTCGATCCTCTCAGCCACATCAAAATACATGCATAAAATATTATAATTCATTTAAAAATGATATTAATGAATTTTTTATATAATTTATAAATTTAAATATTCTATTAATAAATATCAAACTTTTGAGATTAGATATTTGAATAAATCCCTCTTTATTTTTTGGTAAACTATTCTGACACTATTTATTTGACTAGCTCATGCTGCGGATGGCTATGCAATCAATACACCATTATCAATACAAATTTGAGTCTCTCATCATAAAAGTTCTAAAAAAAATCGCATTGAAAATGTGTTGGATCAGTCATGCACTGTTCAAAAATTTTATAGAACCGATTTACGTTATACATATCAAAACTCCTCCTCTCATTCCTTCACATTTCAATCTTAAAACTCTGTACATATCGAGAAAATCTCTAACTAATGATCTTAAGCAGTTCCATAGACCGTCGCATTCCATAGTCTCCATCACTTAGCCCATTAACTTGCCGAAGAAGATTCTGCACTGCATCCACCCATTTCTGCTTACAAAAGCTGTCCGCACAATCGAACACAATGTTCCCTTCTGCTGTTCTCAACCCAAAGCTAACTCCAATTCCTCTACCCTTCTTCTCCAACCCATTCCATTCCAGTTCTTCATCATATACACCATAAACAACACCTAAGCCATCAAATAACTCTTCAATTTTTTAAAAAAATTGAAACTTTGAATCAAACAAGTATATTAATTGATAAAGCTCATCGAAATTGATCAACTCACTTTTCTTCTTCTTTGACAGAGCCCCACCTATGTGCTTGCTTTTGATCTTAACTATGACCTGTGACTTGCTGTTGATGTGAAGCGACACCTTCTTCCATTGCAAGGCTCCTGCAAGCAGTATCGATTTCATTGGTCTGAAGAAAAAGGAGGAACTTTAATGGCTATAATAGTATAGTGGTAGTAGTATACCATTTCTGTTTCTTTTGAGAAGATCGCCTTCCTTGCACCAGATATCCGGGCTGACACTGTAGGATCCCCTATCGTAAGGTATCACTGCGGCAGCATTGCTCCTGATTGCTTCTCTCTGCACTCTTTGTTTCAGCGCCGCAGCTCCTCGCAATGCTGTCGACAGAGCACCATTAGTGGTAATTAATTAAAATGTTTCGATCGGCGAAGTGATTCGAATTTCGCATACAGACCAGTCGCCGCAGCCGCCGTGAGCGTCATCAGATCGCCGACGGAGCGGACGTCCACTGCTGAGCTGACTGCATCTGCGACCTGCTCCTGCGCCGCGCCGGCCATCTCCGCCATCTCCACGCAGTGCGATGCGAGCAGCTCGGTGGCAGAAGCCAGGGCGGCGCCCATCTTCGATCCGGGGTTTTGCGATCTCATCCCGGCGGCCTCGGCCGCCACCGCTGCAGCCACCCCAGCCACCGAAACCGCCGCGTGGATCCGCGCACTCGCTATCCTCACTTTCTCCTTGCTCCTCGCCTTCTCCTTACGCAGCTCCCCTTGCCGAACCCACGTGCCTATAGCCGCTTCGTTGCCCTGCGAATCAAATCATCAACATTAGTCAATCAAGTGCGCGGTTACAGATTGAAAAATATTCAAGCAAGAGGTTAACTTTTATTGGCTTAATGTTTGCTTACGCGGTGGAGGTGGACGGAAGAATCCGGGTGGCAATTGGCGACAAATTTGGGCTTATTGTTGCTGGCGAGGAGGGCACGGGAGATCTCGAAGGCGGAGAGGCTCCATGAGCGGGAGAGGAACTCCATAGGCTCGGCGGGTGTCTGCGGCGGCGGTATCGCCGGCATGCTCACGGCGCTATCCAATTCCTCTTCTCTCTCTTGCAACACTTGGGCTCGTCTTCGACCTCTTTGTTCCAAGCACAGTAGAGAGCACTCTCTTCTTTTCCTCCCCATAAAGAAATGCGCTTTCTCCATTTCCAGGCCTGGGGCTGTGGTTAATAGTACTCTGATGGCTATTTATATAGAAAGGGAGATAGAGAAAGACAAAGACAGGGAGAGCAGGGTTAGAGGAGCACGAGGAGGGGAAGGGCGGGGGGGTAGGGGACAGCGACCGGACAGCCAGGCGTTTGCCGCACGCTTTTGTTAGTTAACGGCTACAGCTTAAGAGACGTGAAGCGGAGCAATAGTGCGGAGCTCGGCTTCTTGTTTCCGTTACAGGCTACAGTGTGTGGGTAGAAGTTTATTTTAGTGGACGGATTACAATACTGCATTGGAGATTAGGAGGGGAGATGAATTCCATGATTTTCTTTTAATTAAGCGCCATGACTCAATTTCTATAATAATAAAAAAAAATTACAGAATATGTAGGACTGGGTAAAATGAGAAATCCAATTGCTGTAATCTTTAAGGGCATCTCTAGCGGAGAACTCTATTTTTCACGGTAAAATATCACAAAACTCTAAAATGCCGTGGTGCTGCTCCAATCGAACGTCATCTGCGAAGGTAACGATCCTTCTCCCTTTGGCGCGTTTTTCCGGTTGAGAGAGCAAAATAACGTAGATGAACAGTGCGACGCCAATATTGGGGTCTCACTGTTCACCCGCAAGTAAATGACGGAATATTTGGCGTTCGGCTGGAGCGACCGAACGACGCCATACACTCGTTTGACGCTCGGTTGGAGATGCTCTAATAATTTTTAATTGCGCTTCCATCTATTGAGTTTAACAAGAAGAGCATTCTTAATGTTGGATTTAAAGTTTAAAGTGCTTGTGGGGACCACCTTACAATGCTAGCAATTCTGAATATACAGAGCAATGGAATAGGAGAGGATTAGGAGTGTATAGAGAATAACTAAGATGTTAAGCAATATATGTGAATAGTAGAAATGATATGAAGTATTCAGCTCATCTTGATCAGTTATTGAGAGTTTTAGATACCAATCAAGAGATTTTTGGTTTGAAGCTTACATATGTGATGTGTGTATAATTTTGCCTTAACTGGCTCAAAAATCCAAAAAAGATGATTTGAAGTTCCAAATCTGTTTCTTAACCATTTATTTATATGGTTAAGATAGCTACATAAAATATCATACCTAGAGAAAATAGATAAATAATGTATGATTTGATAAGCATATATCTGTATAGATATGTAGAGTAGGCTAAAACATATACACATTGACATCTATCTTTGACACGGTTATGGATGTCTTTGGTGAGTACACTGGGCAGGTGGTGAGTCCTCTAAGGTGAGTGAGTGCCTTAAAGGAGTTCTTCAGGATGACTATCTTTGGGTGAATTCATGAAGGCGAACACCCATGGACAAATGGTGAGTCCCTCGGGCGAGTCATGAGGCTTCTAAGTAATTATTCTATGCGAGTTGTTGTACATTGGGGAGGAGGATAATTGATGGAGCCATGGCTATAAGCTCTGTGGGTGCGTGCCTTCTATGATTTTGATGGGATATATGTGAAAGTCGAATGACTTTGACTATGGAGGACCACAATGAAATCATAGTTTTCATGAATTTACTGTTTCTTCAAGTGAATGCTTGTTGATGCGAATTTTTTTGTTGAACATGTTCGGAATTTGTCTCCTTAATCGAGCTCCCACAACATGAGCTTCATTGTGGTGAGTATTTTCCTATGTCTGATCTTGCCCCCGAGAGTGTTCCTCAGGGCGAGACTCATTTTGGTCAAGTGCACATTTTGATCTAGTCCATCAAGGGTAAACATGCTTGGTACCTGTAAGTTATCTATATCGATATATATGGACATACAGTTAAACTTAAAAATGTTAATATAAATGAAGGATCAGTAAATTCTAAATCCTAAAATTAGATCAGGCATTGAATTGGAATAAATAAATATTCAAGATTAATAAATTCAACTATAATAAAAAAAGTATGATATTCTGATGTAAAATATATCATGATAGATTTAAAATTCTTATATTTATGCTGAGATTAATGTAATCTAGGATATCACTTATAGCACTAATTTTAGCATAAATTAAAAATTTAAAATATTTCCTTATAATAATAATTTAAATTTTTTATCCTTATCTTAAGTATTTTTAATTAATTTATTTTTTTGAGAAGAATGAGCCATGTGAAAGGATTCTTGGGTCAAGAAATTGTGTTAACAATTTGTAATTTTGAAATCATCACTCTTCTAACAAGCATTTCTTGTAGATTAAGGTTTCAGTTGGAACTGTTTTTTTAGTGCTTTCTAGATAACTTTCTAGACTTCTAGTACAATATTTTTTTAAAAAATAATGAAAAAATAGTGGTAGAAAGTTGGACCAAATATAGCCTAAAGCTGGACGAATTGTTGGGTCAGGTCACCGAACGTGTTCGGAGCCCAATAAAAAAATGCCACATCACCTCCTACTCGATATTGAGCTCGGTACTCAGTACTGAACAGTACCGAGTACTGAATATAAGCTGTATGTGATGACCTGACCCAATAATCTCTCCTACAGCTGGGTATGCTTTGTTCTGACTGCCCTAAGTACAGTGGATCATTTGGCTTCCTTGGCCCCACTTGTTCGCTAAAGTTTTATCAGAGCTAAGAATTAATGCTTAAATACATTGATTCATAGGCTTGAATGAGCCTAATTCGTCCACTGTAAATTAACTAAGCCAACTATATTTCTACATGCTAACATTCTGGACTAGTTAGACGCAATGGCGCACTTTATTATCTAATGTGATGCTTTGTTTAAGGATGGTTAGCATCATTGAGACCTGCATATTAGGATGGAGAAGAGTTGATCACACCAAAAATATTTGTAACTTCTATATAGGAAAATCTCGCATGGACTTCATCTATAAAAATTTCATAAACACACAATCTTTGTAAATGGGGCTTCACATTAAAAAATTGATTGCACAAATAAGGCTCTCATATAAAATCTGTTGACAGCTAAGCAAGAATGAAAAAACAACTCAAATGAATAGTTTGCTTTCAGCCGCAAAAGCGGTTTTTTCCGTTATTAGCTTACTATGTACTTCAACTATAAATTTCCCTGTAATAGCTGAAACAGGGTAATGAAATACATTTACCTTTACATTCGTCTTCTTGATTTCTTTCCATCAGAAGCTTAGAGCTTTAGTTCTTGACTGCCTGCCTCATCGGCAAAGCAGTTTTCATGGTATCAGAGCTTCGCGTGAAGAAGCTATATCTCCAGTTCTTTTCTTGTTTCCAGTATTTCCATGGCTGCATCCTCTTCCAATTCACCAACGATGGATTCAAATTCGTCGATCACGGTCATGACGATTCCACCACAGCTTAAATTCTTGATGAATAACATCAAGAATCTGATTCCGCACTCGCTGACGTACGAAAATTACGCTATCTGGAGCTGTCAAGTAGAGAAAATCTTCATCGCCAATGGTTTTAAAGGTTTTCTTGACGGATCGCTCAAGTGTCCGCTGCAATCATCTACCTCTGAAGGATCGTCTGCAATCAGCCAAACAACATCACGAGAAAACTGGATTCTCACTGATCAGAATCTTGCAGCGGCGCTATATTCTGTGATCTCACCGTCAATTATTCCCTACGTTCTGACGCTCACTCACTGTCACGACATCTGGACGACTCTGTCGCACCAACTTCAAGCCACAAACAGATCTCGAATCATACAGTTAAAAAGTGAACTGCATCACTTGTCTAAGGGCAACAAGACAATGACGCAGTACCTTCTTGAAGTAAAAATCCAAAATCGATGCCATCAACGCCACCGGTCACTCTATTGATCCAGAAGATGTGATTCTTTATACATTGAATGGACTTCCAGCATCCTATCAGTCCTTCAAGACGGCAATTCGAACCAATCTGCAACCGCTGAGCTTAGACGATCTTTACAGCTTGCTGTGCAGCGAAGAACAGATTTTACTCACAGAAGCTACGCGAGATCTACAGTCATTAAATTTGACAGATAATTCTATGGCTTTCACCGCTTCCAGAGGTCGAGGCCGAGGTAGATACAACAACAATTCTCGTGGCAACAGAGGTCGTCGAACGAATCAACCATCAGGATGAGGAGAACGTCCTGATAAAAATTCCAACATAAACATTACATGTCAGATTTGCAGCCGTATAGGTCACTCTGCAATCAGATGCTGGTACAAGAATGATCCGTCTTACACTGATACAGGCACACAAAGTGCGCTAATTACAACTCAAGATTCGACCTCTCAATCTGACTGGTTCCTCGATAGCGAGGCTTCTACGCATCTGACGTCTGATTCATCTCAGCTGAATTACTCGGAGCCATACAGTGGATCATCTCAGGTAGTCGTTGGCAATGGACAACAACTCCCAATCCAAAACACTGGTCGTGGACTCCTTCCTACACCATCAGGTAATCTACTTCTTCACAATGTTCATCATGTTCCAAATTTATCCTTCAACCTTCTTTCAGTCCATCAGCTGGCCACTGATAATAACTGCGTCATCTCCTTCTCTTCAAATGGCTACCAAATAAAGGATTTGAAGACTCATCGTCTTCTACTGCAAGGCCCATGCCATAATGGTCTTTACGTAATCCATTTGCCTGCTCAAACCTCACATCTAGCGTTGATCTCTGCTCAAATAATCCCAGACCTATGACACAGTCGCCTTGGGCATCCGGCTGCTACGACTTTACGTTTCCTAGCAAATAAACACTCTGCTATCTGTAATTCTTTGCTTCAAACCTGTAATACGTGATGTCTTGCTAAAAGCAGACGATTACCTTTCTCTAATTCCATGTCAAGTACTAGTTTATCATTTCAATTAGTACACACCGATCTTTGGGGACCGGCACCCTCACCGTCTGTACAAGGATATCGATATTACATTTCCTTTATTGATGACTATACCCGATTCTGCTGGACGTTTCCTTTGCGTCAAAAATCAGAGACAACTAACACATTCATAAAATTTCATAAATACATCAAATGCCTGTTCAAATGTGAGATACAAAATATTAGAACCGATGGTGGTGGTGAATACTTAAATAATAACTTCAAAGCTTATTGTTCTGATAATGGCATTCATCATCAGTTCACCTGTCCTCACACACCATCCCAAAATGGTGTTGCTGAGAGGAAGCACCGACATTTGATTGAAACTGTTCGAAGCCTGTTA